GATGAAAAAAATGCTTGCGCCGGGCAGAATTTACTAAAATTGATGAAAAAAATACTTGCGCCGGCCAGAAATGCCTCAAATTGATGAAAAAAAGTACTTGCGCCGGCCAGAATTTCCTCAAATTGATGAAAAAAATACTTGCGCCGGGCAGAATTTACTAAAATTGATGAAAAAAATACTTGCGCCGGGCAGAATTGCCTCAGATTGATGAAAAATTTACTTGCGCCGGGCAGAATTGTCTCTGATTGATAAAAAAATACTTGCGCCGGGCAGAATTGCCTCAGATTGATGAAATAAATACTTGCGCCGGGCAGAATTGCCTCAAATTGATGAAAAAAATACTTGCGCCGGGCAGAATTGCCTCAAATTGATGAAAAAAATACTTGCGCCGGGCAGAATTGCCTCAGATTGATGAAAAATTTACTTGCGCCGGGCAGAATTGTCTCAGATTGATAAAAAAAATACTTGCGCCGGGCAGAATTGCCTCAGATTGATGAAATAAATACTTGCGCCGGGCAGAATTGCCTCAAATTGATGAAAAAAATACTTGCTCCGGGCAGAATTTACTAAAATTGATGAAATAAATACTTGCGCCGGGCAGAATTGCCTCAAATTGATGAAAAAAATACTTGCGCCGGGCAGAATTTACTAAAATTGATGAAAAAAATACTTGCGCCGGGCAGAATTGCCTCAGATTGATGAAAAAAATTACTTGCGCCGGGCAGAATTGCCTCAGATTGATAAAAAAATACTTGCGCCGGGCAGAATTGCCTCAGATTGATGAAATAAATACTTGCGCCTGGCAGAATTTACTAAAATTGATGAAGAAAATATTTGCGCCGGCTAGAATTTCCTCAAATTAATGAAAAAAATACTTGCGCCGGGCAGAATTTACTAAAATTGATGAAAAAAATACTTGCGCCGGCCAGAAATGCCTTAAATTGATGAAAAAAAGTACTTGCGCCGGCCAGAATTTCCTCAAATTGATGAAAAAAATACTTGCGCCGGGCAGAATTGTCTCAGATTAATAAAAAAATACTTGCGCCGGGCAGAATTGCCTCAGATTGATGAAATAAATACTTGCGCCGGGCAGAATTGCCTCAAATTGATGAAAAAAATACTTGCGCCGGGCAGAATTTACTAAAATTGATGAAAAAAATACTTGCGCCGGGCAGAATTGCCTCAGATTGATGAAAAAAATACTTGCGCCGGGCAGAATTCACTAAAATTGATGAAAAAAATATTTGCGCCGGCCAGAATTGCCTCAAATTGATGAAAAAAATACTTGCGCCGGGCAGAATTTACTAAAATTGATGAAAAAAATACTTGCGCCGGCCAGAAATGCCTCAAATTGATGAAAAAAAGTACTTGCGCCGGCCAGAATTTCCTCAAATTGATGAAAAAAATACTTGCGCCGGGCAGAATTTACTAAAATTGATGAAAAAAATACTTGCGCCGGGCAGAATTGCCTCAAATTGATGAAAAAAATACTTGCTCCGGGCAGAATTTACTAAAATTGATGAAATAAATAATTGCGCCGGGCAGAATTGCCTCAAATTGATGAAAAAAATACTTGCGCCGGGCAGAATTTACTAAAATTGATGAAAAAAATACTTGCGCCGGGCAGAATTGCCTCAGATTGATGAAAAAAATTACTTGCGCCGGGCAGAATTGCCTCAGATTGATAAAAAAATACTTGCGCCGGGCAGAATTGCCTCAGATTGATGAAATAAATACTTGCGCCTGGCAGAATTTACTAAAATTGATGAAGAAAATATTTGCGCCGGCTAGAATTTCCTCAAATTAATGAAAAAAAATACTTGCGCCGGGCAGAATTTACTAAAATTGATGAAAAAAATACTTGCGCCGGCCAGAAATGCCTTAAATTGATGAAAAAAAGTACTTGCGCCGGCCAGAATTTCCTCAAATTGATGAAAAAAATACTTGCGCCGGGCAGAATTGTCTCAGATTAATAAAAAAATACTTGCGCCGGGCAGAATTGCCTCAGATTGATGAAATAAATACTTGCGCCGGGCAGAATTGCCTCAAATTGATGAAAAAAATACTTGCGCCGGGCAGAATTTACTAAAATTGATGAAAAAAATACTTGCGCCGGGCAGAATTGCCTCAGATTGATGAAAAAAATACTTGCGCCGGGCAGAATTCACTAAAATTGATGAAAAAAATATTTGCGCCGGCCAGAATTGCCTCAAATTGATGAAAAAAATACTTGCGCCGGGCAGAATTTACTAAAATTGATGAAAAAAATACTTGCGCCGGCCAGAAATGCCTCAAATTGATGAAAAAAAGTACTTGCGCCGGCCAGAATTTCCTCAAATTGATGAAAAAAATACTTGCGCCGGGCAGAATTTACTAAAATTGATGAAAAAAATACTTGCGCCGGGCAGAATTGCCTCAGATTGATAAAAAATTTACTTGCGCCGGGCAGAATTGTCTCAGATTGATAAAAAAATACTTGCGCCGGGCAGAATTGCCTCAGATTGATGAAATAAATACTTGCGCCGGGCAGAATTGCCTCAAATTGATGAAAAAAATACTTGCGCCGGGCAGAATTTACTAAAATTGATAAAAAAATACTTGCGCCGGGCAGAATTGCCTCAGATTGATGAAAAATTTACTTGCGCCGGGCAGAATTGTCTCAGATTGATAAAAAAATACTTGCGCCGGGCAGAATTGCCTCAGATTGATGAAATAAATACTTGCGCCGGGCAGAATTGCCTTAAATTGATGAAAAAAATACTTGCGCCGGGCAGAATTTACTAAAATTGATGAAATAAATACTTGCGCCGGGCAGAATTGCCTCAGATTGATGAAAAAAATTACTTGCGCCGGGCAGAATTGCCTCAGATTGATAAAAAAATACTTGCGCCGGGCAGAATTGCCTTAAATTGATGAAAAAAATACTTGCGCCGGGCAGAATTTACTAAAATTGATGAAATAAATACTTGCGCCGGGCAGAATTGCCTCAAATTGATGAAAAAAATACTTGCGCCGGGCAGAATTTACTAAAATTGATGAAAAAAATACTTGCGCCGGGCAGAATTGCCTCAAATTGATGAAAAAAAGTACTTGCGCCGGGCAGAATTGCCTCAGATTGATAAAAAAAATACTTGCGCCGGGCAGAATTGCCTCGATACATATTTTTAAATCAATATTTATTAGAAAATTTTACGAGAATTCAATTATTTAAATTTACAAAAATAAACAATTTATTGAATAATGGAATGTTTTTTAAAATTGAATTTTCATAAAGAATTTTCTCAACAAGTTTTTAAATAATTGAATTTTCTTGACAAAATTTAATAAAATTTTTAAGAATAATTTCACTTTTTGAGAGATTTGATGAAAGTTGAATTAAAAATAATTAAAATTCTGCTAAGAATTTTATTAAAATTTTTGAAAGTAATTGAATTTTGAAGAAAAATTTTATTATTTATAAAGATAATTGAAATTTTAATGAGAAATTTTGTAAATTTTTGAACATAATTGAATTTTGGGAAAGAATTATATTACTTTTGAAAATAATTGAATTCTTGAGACCGAATTTTATTAAAATTTCTTTTTAAATAATTTAATTATTTTGCGAAATTTTATTTAAGTAGTAGACATTAAAAATAATTGAATTTTGCCAAATTTTTTTAATTTTTTAAATTTTTACGAAGAATTTTAATAAAATTATTTTGAAAAAAATTAAATTGTAACAAAGAATTTGAATTTCATCAAAATTTTTGAAAATAATTTAATTCCTTGATGAATTTTAATTAAAAATATATTGAAATTATAGACAAAGTTTTTTAAAATAATTGAATTACTTGATAAATTTTAATAACATTTTTATGAATAATTATATTTTTCGTTGAATTCTATTAAAATTGTATTGAAAATAATTTGAAAATGTCTGCGATGAGTTTTATTATTTATGAAAATAATTGAATCTCTGTAAAAAAATGTTATTTTTTATTGAATTAAAATTTTGCCAAAGAATTTAATTAAAATTTTTAAAAATAATTGAATTTTAGTTATTAAAATTTTTTAAAATTTATGTTTTTTGCTTCCTCATGAGGAAGCTTTGCATTGGTGACGATTTTCAATTTTTCAAAAGAAGGTTTTTTGGACTCATTTTCATCTAGAACATATGTATATTCAATTATGAGCAAATGTCCAGATGTATGTGTGTGTATGTCACAAAAATTGTGTACAAATTATCTCAGACAAATTTTGATGGATTGTCCTGTAATTTTGCAGGTTTATTGCAGTCATTAATACCTAAAATTTGACACAAGGATTTTTAAAAATATCTACAAAAATTTTTTTTATACAATTTTTTTAAAATTCAGAAAAAATTTTTTTTGTATTTTTTGAAATAATTTTTTTATTTGTTAATATTTTCATTAATTATTCTCAAAATTACATTCCTGACAAGAAAATGAATCGATTGATGTATACAAAGTATATATTTTATCAAAATTTATAAAATTAATAAATATTTTTCTTTTTCACAAAAAATTCAAATTTTGTATTTTTTTATTTAATTAATTTAATATTAATATTTTGAAATGATTATTCTATCATAAAATAGAAGCAATTGGCAAATAAAAGTGTAAATTTTACCAAATATTTATACAACAACTTATAAATGATTTATATAATTTTATTTTTAACAAATCTTCTGGACGAACCCTTTTGTACATAGTTTTTCAAAAGTTTGCAAAACCGCAATTTTTATATATTGAGGAAGCTAAATGGTCATGAAATGAACAACTTGTTAAAATTTCTAATTAAATTCATTTAAAATTGAAATTTTACAAAATTTTAAATTAAAACCTTTTGAAGATCATCATGAAAATTGTAAACGCAATTCTTTTAAAATTAAATTTGAAATATTTAAGTAAAATCAAATTTCAAAATCTTTTCTAGGTTTCCAGGTTGTATGGCAACCGTTTTCTTATATAGGAAAGGCTATAAAAAACAAACCATAATTTAAGTACTATTGGTAATATTTATTTAACTAGTACATATATGTACACGTCACTTTTTCATTAATTATTATATACATAAAATACTTTTCCGTAGAGACAAAAAAAAAATTTCGACTAGTTGCATTATACAGAAATTTTTCTTATTTCGCATTCGCTAATAATAATGATTGTTAACATACATTTTCTTGACAATTTACATCGTTAGAGTGAAAAAATCTATTATTCTTTTAACATGCATCCAATTTCAAGCGAATTGTATATAAAATGTAAATAAATACGTAAAAATACAATAAATAATTGCTCTTAATAAATTAAGAAACAAAAGTTTTGCCAGTTTGGATTTTTTTTTTGCAAAAAAAAGCACTTGGTGACTGGCAAGAAAAATTCTCTAATTAACAAGGAATGTGAGAGGAAGTTTCAGTTTTGCAAAAACCAAAAGTCCAATGTGCGACATCACAAAAATAAAAAACTTTTTTGAAATACTCGTAATTTTTTTTTCTTTTTCTTCTGAAGAAATTAAAAATAAGAGAGGAAAATAATTTACGTTTATTTTACTCGAATTTTTGTTTGAATTTTTGCTTAAAAATAACAGGTACCAGTGAGAGGAGGGCAAAAATGCAGAGTATTATAAAACTAGTCCATGACCATGCATCACTTGACGATGTTAATTTATGTAATGTTTGTCCGGCTTGTATTGCAACAAATGACGGTGGCGCAACACCAAAAAATGTTCCTACAAGAAATGGTATTATTGGAACACCAATCACAGGACTCGCGAGATTTATAAACCAATTTGGTAATAGCGGCGTCATCCTCAGGAATAACATGTAATTTAAAAGATTGTCATGATGCTTGGTAACAATAATCGACCATTCTTTTGCTTTTTCGGGAAAATATTTGAAGAGTAATTTTCTCCCCAATAAAGATGAGAGTAGATAGCAGAGTGTAGCTCCTAATGCGCTGCAGAAACAGACGAGGAATAATGCCAAGGGAAATGGAAAGAGAAATCCTGATAAAATCGAGAGAAATATTGATCCTGGAATTGCAAAAGTTTGCAAGCTATTTTTTTGGGAGGGGGGAGAAAAATATTTTTTTTGATAAGGAAAATATGTATAAATGCATTTTCGGTAAAAAAATTATTTAAAAATCATTTCTAATTTTATTAATTAATTTATTTTTATCTAATAAGAAAGAAAAACGAAGACATTCAGACAAAAATTCGTCCAAACTCTACAGTTCTACCATTTTTAATTTTATTAATTATTTACAGTAATTTAACATTACAATTACACATTCTCTTTATTCTCTGTTCTTATTTTGCTCTGTTCAATTTTATAGAGAACTTTTATTTACTTATTTATTATTTTTATTTAAAAAACGGATTCTTTATTTATGATGTGTTATTTATAATTTTTCTCCTTAACTCATTACTGTTCCTTATTTGTTATTATTAAAAAAAAGAAAGAAAAAGAAGGATAATAATCATATAATTTGGAGTTATAACTAAAATAAATAAGAATTTAAATTATAAATTAAAGAATTGTAAAAAAATTGAAATAAATTATTAAAATTAAAGATTTTTAATTTAAATATAAGTATTTTATAAATAAAAGAATTAAGTTAAGAATAACATACTAATAAAAGAATAGTAATCTGTTTTTTCTTTAAATAAATAAATTAACACAAATAAATAACATTAAAATTATAAACAGATTAATTAACTCCAATAGATTTTTTTGTTGGTTTTTTAGCATCAATGTACCAAATGTGTGATCAGATTAACACTATGTGTATTCACAGCAATGTAGACTTTGATATATTTAATATGTCATTAACTAAATTTAAAACGACAGTTACTTTATATTACTATCTCAAAGATAGCTTTTTCTCCTTCTTTTTGTTTATCAATTTTATAAATTATATTCTACGATTTCCTTTATATACTACAATGTAATACCCTTTAATGGTTTTCTAACCGTGGGTTTGATAATTTTGCAAATAAAAAAATAGATAATGTTAAAGAACAGAGAATAGACAAACTGAGCAATCATAGTATTAATTATTGGAAATAAAATTCAAAATCATTTCATATGAATTATCAAAATCATGAGACCCATGAATAAGCCCTAAAAATCATTAGTTAGAATTTTCAAATAATTGAATTTCACTTTTTTGAATTTTTTTTAAATCGATTTTAAATTAACCCGATATTTTTTAAAATAAAAGTTCTAGTAAATAAAAAATTCGTATATGTATATCAATGAATTAAGTTTTATTTTCTTACGTTTTAATTATATTTTGTTTATTAATTTTTATTTTTAATTTATTTTATTAATATTCTTATATTATTATAAATAAAATAATTGAGGAGTAAGTTTTCAAAACCTGATAAATCCAAATTTGGTCATTTCGAGAAGTTTAAACAAATACCAATTCTCACATAACCATTAAAATTAACTCTCAATATAGAAAACTTGTAATAAATTATTCATTTTTGAATATTTTTTCTATTTAAAAACGCTCTGTTTGTAATGATAGTCTATTGTAATAAGAGAATTTAAAGGTTTTGGCAATTTTTTTTTAATAAAAAAATAAAAATTATCAAGGTTAGGCCAAAATATGTTTTATTTAGATAGATATGTTTATTTTTAAATTATTTAATGGTTTTATTAATTGTCCAACACTATTACCAATGTTAAATCTTTCCGTTCCGAATAAACCTTGTAGATACTTAACGCTTTTCAAAATAAAATACCATAGGACCAATTATGCAAACCACTCACCGATTGCTAGACTGTATAGGGAAGCGAACTCTGTAAGCAACTCTGTAAATTTTTTCGACGATTCTGTCATGAGATTTACATCTCACTTGCGTAACTTATTATTTGTATAGCCTATCCTAGCAATAATGTTTATGTTTACTTGGCTACTTGCCACTCAACTTTTCATAGTAGATTTTAATATTTTAAATATGTGTTTATGGTATCTCAATTTTTATGAAAAATGGATTTATCAACTTTTGAAAAATTGCTCCTCAATTAATCTTCAATAAGAATAAAATTAATCAAATAAATCAAATTAATTTAAAATAAAAATTAACGAAATAAAATATAATGAATGTAATGAATCGTTGGAGTAATAGTTTAAAAGTCTTCCTGAATATGTATTTTTTATGTACCAATCTGTGATAATACTGTTATTATTAGTTCTTATAATTTTTAGTTTTAAAAAATTGATCTCTCCACCATATTTCAATTTATGAGTGAATTGTAATCTGTCATGAAAAGAATTGAAGGCATCAATAATGAAATAATTGAAGCAATCAAAATTATTGAACTGTATAGCTTTCAGCTCTAGTCGAAATATCGACATCTAAATGGAAAATAATAAGAAAAATGAAAAATAAGTTAAGTTTTCAAGTCAAAGGATACAATATGAAAGCGATGAATACTCCAGCCAGGACTTGAATATAGTACAAGTCTTTGTAACGTTCAAGAACACCTCCTAAATTTTTGGCATCTTCTATATGAAAAGGCAGTTTAATATGTTTCTTTTCTTCCCTGAAATAAAGAATTTAGTAAATAATTTTAATTTCCAATAAGAATAATTTTTATATCAATTTACTTACTCGTCCAATTCCGGGAAACTCATGTACACATAAAATAACGATGTTAATGAAACTAAAAAGATGAAACCAACTGTTAAAATGGCTCTTCGAGTGGAAACCTCATTCTCCTCTTTCGTTGACGCTGTAAACAATAAATACTAATTATATTTTTCATTCAATCTTAAACTTAAAAAAAAGCCCAAAATTTTATTCAACAAAAAATTGTAAATAGCAAATGAATTTAATTTAAATTTATTTTAAGGACCATAATGAATTTAATGTTTTAAATTTAGTTGAGGCAGTAGAATTATATTTCTCGAAAATATATCCCCTCATTTTAAAAATAACGGAAACATTCTTTTTTTTGTAACAAGTTCTTCAAGTTATTCATCTTTAAAAAGTTTGAAAATAGAACAAACGATTCTGATTGGTTCACGTGTTCGATCACCTGAGTAAAATTTCATCTCTCACCCCGCCCTTACAAAGAAAAAATATTAAAATTTAAGGTTATGTTCTACATGAAACTTACATAAAATATAATATCTACATATGAAATCTTAAAAAAACCGCAATTAAAAATATTAAAAATTCAACTGAAAGAATAACAGGAAAAGATGTAATTTACAATTTATGTAAATTTTTCTCGAATTAATGTAAACAAGGAATTTAATTGTTATTTGTATCACAGAGGTTAAGTGAGCAATTTGAAAATCAGCTGATTATCAATGAAATTCATCATTAATGAGTGTCAATGTCAAGTGATGATTTCAAGTAAATGATATATTATTTTCATCAATAAGTGAAATATGATTGAGAAATATTTTTCTCAGGTGAGAAGAGAATATAAAATTTTTAAATGTCAAAAAAATAGGAAATTTAAAAAAAATTTCTATATTAAATTTATAAAATAGAATTGGAAACTTTTTTAAATACCTGAATTTTGTTGAACTGCTTTAACACTCATCTCGACGAAGAATGAAAAAATATTTCTAATTGATAATGAATGTTCCCCCTTGATTAAAAAAATATAAGAGTTCAATTAACAATCATCACGCGATGTATGTTGATGTATGTGTCAAACTAAAAATGGAACAAAGACGTTAGTTCCTAAAAATTTTACTACATTCCAGATGTCGCCACAACTGCCGCGGGAATTTTATAATATCTTACTAAATTTGAAAATTATATCAATTTTTCAGAAATATTAAAATAAATAAAATAAATTTAATTGTTAAAATTGAAATTCATAGTTCTTTAAACAATAATTTTTTTCTTTCTACTTTTTTACTATCAATTTTAGTGGAAAAAAAATCTCCTACAATATACTATCAAACAAGCAATGCTGTGTAAAATGTTGCCTATTTTCAGGCATCACATTAATTGCGTTCATTTTTATTTACAATGTTATAATTATCCATTTATCGCCTCTACTGTCAAATAATTGCGAACAAACAGTAATTTTCGATAAAATGTTAAATTTACATTTCTAGATAAAAAAAAATACAGTAAACTAAATTAAATTTTTTTTAATTTTATAACCTTGTACTTAATTAATTAAAAATTGATTTCCAAATTATTACTGCAGTAATTAAAAAAAATATTGTTGTTTACAATTATAAAAATTATATGCCACAAAAATTTTTTTAAATTGAATAAATTAAATAAATTTATTATAATATTTTTAATTATTTTAAAATTATTAAAAATAATTTTAATTATTAAAATGAAGTCTCTGTAAAATAAAGTCGATGATTATAAGAAGGTTAACGTTAAACAATTGTTCATATTTTTAAAACTTTATTACATTGAAAAAAGACAGGAAAATTAAATAATTTTCCAATTTTTAAAGCATTTACATTAAAAACAAAAATATTTACAATAAACCGTTTTTTTTATCAAAAATTAAGTAATACATTAATATTAATAACAATTCAAAAATTATAACTAATTTATAATTATTATTTTTTAATTTTCAGTATAAATATTTATTAATAAATTAATGAAAATTAATAGTAATAAATAGTAAATAAATAAAAAAAATAGTATAAATACCAATAAATGCTAATAAATACTAATTAATAATATTAATAAATTATTATTAACAAATTAATAATAATTTTTAATAAAAGTAAGTACTAAAAAATTATTACTAATTTACAACTATTTAGTAATAATTTTTCAATGAAAATAATAATAATAATTTACAAAATAATAATAATTTACATTCAATAAACAATTATATAAATTATACAATAATTTAGACGCTTGGATGCAAATATTAACTCTCCACACTCGAAATGAAAGAGAATAAGGAATATTGAGTATGTTTTGGAAGATTATAATTTTTACTCGGTGAATTCATTTTAAATCGCAATTTAATGACAAAATTCATCAATCAGTGCAAAAATTCGTAAAATCTATTTTAAATTTCCTTTTAATTATACATATATTAGAATTTATTTATTATTCTTCATATATTAGAATTTACATAATTTAAACATTATTTTTATTAATTTCCTTAAACTGTATAAAACAATGTTTTTCTTACATATAATTAATTAATTACTATTATTTTAATTTAAAAAAATTATTCTTTAAAGAATTTATTTAAACAAAAATTGTTTAAAAAATAATTTTTTTCCCATTTAATTTCTATATTTATATGAAAAATATACATTTTTTAAAATTAAAAAGAAATTTTCTTTAGACGATGATTTATATCGTTTTTTAAAATATTTTGTATTAATTTAACTTATTAATTATAAATTAATTTTTGTTTAATGAAATCATAATTATCATAATTATATAGTAAAAATGTTACAATTTTTTCTTATATAATAGATAAAACAAAAAGGAGCATTGAGCAAACTATTTCAGTCGTGATATTATAGGCTTTTTAATTTTATGCACTTATATTAATTATTTCTTTAGTTTAAAGAAATTTTTTTTCGAAATTAGTACAAATTGCAAAAATTAAAAATGTATTTTGTCTTAAAAAAATTAATACAACAAAGTTAACGCAACGTTAAATATTATAATTTAAAAGAATTTTTTAAAAATAATTAAGTAAATAAATAAATTTATTAGTAAATCAATTAAGTAAATAGTTAATTAGTTACTTAATTAATTAGTTGGATAATTAATTAGTTAACTCATTGGTTAATTAATAAGTTAATTAAGTTAGTTAATTAATTAGTTGATTAGTTGGTTAATTAATTAGATAATTAGTTACTTAATTAATTAGGTAATTAGTTAAGTTAGTTGTTAATTAATTAGTTAATTAATCAATAGACTAAAGAAAAGAAATTTTATTCATAAATTATTAATTGAAATTTAAAAAGATTTTTTTTTGTACAAACCGTCACTCTAATTTTTAAAAAAATTGGACACGCAAACATTTAAAAAAAAAATATTTTACACACAAAAGCAAAGCCTATAATTTTTAAATTAAGAAACCTTATTTTAAAAGAAACCTTTTTTTATTGCTTTTTTCTTTTTACTGTAAAACCACTCAAAGTGAAAAATACTCTTTTGTCAAAATATTCACAACTATAGAATTATTTTTATGCATTAAATATTCCTCTATTTCAAAATATATCGCATCAAAAAAAAAAAAAAAAAAAAAAACTATATTTAGTTTTGCAGAAAAAATTAATTTCCTTTTTTTTGATTATATATAATATTACATATTATTAATAATACTGTAAGGTACCGGGGAATATTAATGCGTAATTTAACGTGAACATAAATTCTACATACTCCCCATATTTTTGCAATAACGTGAAAGAGAAAAACTTGCAAAATTTACATTTTAAAATATATTAATTCATTTTTATGTGAAACAATTATTTTTTCCATTCGAAACATGTAGAAGATATTGGAAAATAATAGTAATTGAGTCTTTGAATAGTGAAATGGTCGCGCGGTACATTCGTTGAAAAACATGCGTCACTAGTTCATGGATCGATTCCTGCCGTATGGAATTTTTTTCCCCCGGTTTATTCTTAAATTAAAAAAATTCTAATTCAATAAATACTGAAACGATTTTTCTGTTATTATTAAAATTAAGAAATTTTATAGGTTATGTTTCTTATGTTTCAAGTGGAAATTGAAAAAAATGGATAAACTTTCAATTCAAATGAAGTCTGAAGGCTTCCAGTAGTATATTTAAAATATCACTAAAAATTATTTTTCAAATGTTGAAAATTAAAAACGAATTCTTTATTATAAACATTATAAAGTAAAACGATCGTGAACATAACCTCTAATTTTTTGTTTCTTAGGTTCCTTTCTTTATAGCATTTTATTCTGTTTGCGGTTTTTTTTCTGCAAACGCATATTGGCTGTTCTTCCGGTGTGACGGAATTTTGAAAAATCGTGTCATTTCTGTCAAAATGTTTTTAGTTCATGACAAACATTCGTACGCCACGAACTAAGAATATTTGATAGAAATGACACGACTTCTCAAAATTCTGTCAAACCGAAAGGACAGCATATATATGCATTTGGGTGTACCATTCAAAGACTCAAAGTATTCAAATTCTATAAAATTTAAATCAATCATTAAAAATTGTTATATTTTTACTCTATTTCAAGAGATATCTTATTTTTCACCACTCTACACCCATCGCATATATGCTGTACTTCCGGTCTATGACGGAATTTTGAAAAGTCGTGTCATTTCTATCAAATATTCAAAATTCGTGACGTACGAATATTTATTCAAATGTCATGAACTAACAAAATTTTGACAGAAATGACACGACTTTTCAAAATTCCGTCATAGATTGGAAGGACAGCATACTTGCGTTTGAGTGTACTTTTCTTTCTCTCTCTCTCTCCCTCTCTAAGCAGTAAACTGATGGAACAAATAAGAGGAGGGCACACGAATCGGTACCAATCGTGTATTTCCGGTACTTTCCTTGACAACGTAATAATCGCGACCGTTAATATTAAATCTTTTCGCGTCACGATGATCTTGTACCGCTTGATAAAATGGCGGTGGACTTTGATGGAATTTATAACGTGGCGAATTAGGTGGACTGTAAGCTGGCAATGATGATTCGTCAACTTTAACTTTTTGCTTGAATGGAATGCAACATGAGTCCTTGTTGCAGCAGCAGAATCGCATAATAACGTAAAATATACCCTCGAGAACAAAAAGTACACTGGCCACCGAATAACCATAGCCAATTACTTTAAACAAAAGTAAAATATCATTGACCTGTAGACGTTTCTCTTTTGTCGGTAAATTTGGTGGACAATAATTCACCGTCGGTACGTCTGCTTTCTTCAAATATTTCACTAATCCATTTTCCACAATGCGTATAAGTCTGAAAAAAGAAAAATGAAATTGTAAAGAAAAATATATGCAGATAATAGATTCGCAAAAAATCGTTCGCGAACGTGATGCATGAGATAGAAAAGAATACAAAAATATATCTCCGTCCTTTTTAACTCAAGCTTTTGCGTTCGCGAAGCAGTTGTGCTTAGGTCTTTAATGAGACAATAGTAGTTAATAAGATAGCGGTCAAGCACGACTTGTAAGCAATAAATTCTTTTGATATACTTCCAGAGTATCTCTATATACAGTGGCGTACGGACAATGTTAGTCGATTTTTATTCCTACGCCACTGTTATTACTCTTCATTATTCATATAGCTTCATTTTCATGCGAAAATAACTTATGTAGGTTATGTTTACCACACTCCCACAAGGCAAAAACCAAAAACTTTCACTTCCGCGCGTAAATTTCTAGGTTAAAAATACCATGTTATGTAAGAAAAAAATTCTAGCAATCAAAAAGTCAACAATAATATAATAGTTATAAATAAATATAATAAATACTCTTTGTTCATAATTGCCAAAATAGAAGAATTCTTCGGAAAACCAAAAGCCGTTTCGATGAAGTAAAGAGGTTTCGGCACTGCGATGTACGTGCAACGTTTACCCTCAACAATTCCTTTCCTCGTTTTGTTTTTATAGTCGTCGTAAACTATCATTTTTGCCAGTTGCATTTCCGTCAAGAATCCCCTTTCTAGAAGAATATTAATAAATTACAAAATATTAAAAACAATTCAACAATAAATTTTCATAAACTTTATTTCACGATTACTTACTTGACTTTCGAATACGTTTCAGCATGTCTATACCAAATAGACCGTACTCAGTGCTGTACTCTCCATATCTCCACTCGGCTGCCCTCTTCAAACTGTTGAACGCGCCAAAATTCTGGAAGAAACAAAAAAAAGGGTGAGTTCCGTGAGTGCGAGTGAGAGAAAAGTACAGCATCTCTGTCTATCGCGAGACTTGCCGATCTCGCGCGAACTGACTCTCTAGAAAGTGGGCGTGTCTTTGAGATCAGTATAAATACTTGGGACTTGTAACGAATCGGTCAGTTTGCAGCGGACCGCACAGTGGACAGCGCTCGGGAGTAGTGAATTATTAGTTTATTTATTTATGGTACAAGGTAAACAAAATTTAAATACTTACGTTTTCTATCGCACTCTCAACTGTGCGACCTTTCATGGCGAACCAGTTGTAGCCATAAGCGACATCGTCAAGTGAATGTATACCCAGAGTATAGTACGATAGAGTCAGAAAAGCCGTGAGATTTGCAGTGTAGAATGCCGAGAAAATTGTCACAAATATCCACCAGGATGCAAAAACCAGTCTTGTACAATCTAAAATATAATATTTGTCACATATTTCACTGTAGAATGAATATTAGTAAAATATTTAAGGCAGTAGTCTCCTTTATAGGCTTAAAAAAATTGACTTTTTTTTGTCTTAAATCTATTCCAAAACTATCGAAAAATATGTCTTTAAAATTTTTGACAATGCAAGAATTTTGCAGACAACATCGATGCTGAGCGCATAACGCGGGAGAACCGGCGCGCATCATTTTCGAGCAAGGAAGCTCGCGCAGCTCGACTATCAGAAAGCCTCCGCCAAAATGAGTTCTTCGAAGAAGAGGAAGGATTGCTATATGGCCCAGGAATAGCTGATCTGATTAACATTTAATTTGTGTAAGTATCCAAAAAGTTATATTTTTTTGGACTCCAGAAAAATCGTTATAACAGAAGAATTTTAATATTTTTTAATAATAAAAATTATTTTTTTAAGCTGAAATATAGTAGAATATCACCTAAAAATTTCGTTTACCGCAATCATTTCCTTCCCTTTCAAAAAAATTGCTCAAAAAACTCTTTTTTCGGCTTCTAAAGGAGACTACTGCCTTAATGAAATTAGAAAAATATTTATCATAAGAGAAAAATTAAATCGTGTTTTTATGCAACTCTAACCTCCATGAGGGGCTTTTGTTGTTCCTTGTTTCAGTAGAGAACCGTAGGCGAACCACATGCAACGTGGGAACGAGTACCTCCACATTTCGTCATCTTTTGCATACAAATTTCTAAAAAAAAAGAAACAATTATTATTTTTACCCACTAACTATAACTACTTTTTTTTACCTACTAACTATAACTATACTTATTTTAAGCTACTAAAATAATAATTATTATATTGTCATTAGTATTATTTTTAATCTAATGTATTTTTTCAGTCACAATCCCGAGTTTCCAATATATGGCAACAATGGTTGTTTATGTGAAGATTCAAAAGGAATATTTAGTATTCCTGCAGCAAATTTAAGAAATTTATTTTGAACACGTTCAATTCTGATTATGTGGAAGACATAAAAAGGAGACCAGATTATACATGCATATTCAATTATTGATCAGACAAGCGTCAAGTATAATATTCTAATTGTTGCAAGACCACGAAATACTGAAGCACATCTGATTATAAACCCCGAAGATTTTGAGGTCCTTAAAACAATAATTTTAGTAACGTGATCATTACTTAAAGATTACTGGTGAACAATACACCTAAATCATGCACCCTAGTTACTCTCTCCAAGTTCTAACCAAATAGTGTAATTATATTATAAATTAACAGGCCTATATAAACGAATACCCACATAGCACAATAGTATGAGGTAAGGTTATGTTGAGTACTAATCGTAAGGCACATAAGGTTACACAATATTGCTGCGGTAGACCTGAGGTGAACTAAAAACTTCCGCCATGGAGGTAAGGTTACATGTTAGGGTGTGGTGAGTATATATGATAAGGCCATGGTAACCTTACACGTTAAGGTTAAGGTAACCTTACACGTTAATGTTGATGTAACCTTACACGTTAAGGTTGAGGTAACGTTACATGTTAAGGTTGAGGTAAGGTTACATGTCAAGGTTGAGGTAAGGTAATTATTAAGTTGTAAGGTTGAGGTAAGGCTAAGGTAAGGTTGTGATAAATTTACCAGTTATGGAAAATATTGAAAAAATAATTAATAAATAAATATTCAATTAAAAAGTTAGTTTGTTGCTCCTCTCTATTTTGGAAACCTGACATGAAGCAGAAAATTTTGAAAACAAATTTGGGGGGACTGGGATTTGAACCCGGGATCGACGCGCATAAACCTATCATTCTAACTAACTGAGCTAAGTAGAGAACTGGTAGAAGGAAAATTAATATTGCCTTTAAGGAGTTAATCATCTTCTTGGTTCACCTTAAAGGCAACATTAATTTTCCTTCTGCCAGTTCTCTACTTAGCTCAGTTAGTTAGAATGATAGGTTTATGCGCGTCGATCCCGGGTTCGAATCCCAGTCCCCCCAAATTTGTTTTCAAAATTTTCTGCTTCATGTCAGGTTTCCAAAATAGAGAAGAGCAACAAACTAACTTTTTAATTGAATATTTATTTATTAATTATTTTTTTAATATTTTCCATAACTGGTAAATTTATCACAACCTTACCTTAACCTTACCTCAACCTTACAACTTAATAATTACCTTACCTCAACCTTGACATGTAACCTTACCTCAACCTTAACATGTAACGTTACCTCAACCTTAACGTGTAAGGTTACATCAACCTTAACGTGTAAGGTTACCTTAACCTTAACGTGTAAGGTTACCATGGCCTTATCATATATACTCACCACACCCTAACATGTAACCTTACCTCCATGGCGGAAGTTTTTAGTTCACCTCAGGTCTACCGCAGCAATATTGTGTAACCTTATGTGCCTTACGATTAGTACTCAACATAACCTTACCTCATACTATGGTGCTATGTGGGTATAATTTATTAATGCATATAGTATAATACATAAACTCCCTTAAATAAAGGATTATGACCCAAAATTAATAACATCACTGCGATAATTAAAAAATCGAAAAATATCTTATCATTATAAATTTTGTTAATTTTTGTTGTTAGCAAGTTAAAATTTTGTGTTTCTGAATTTTATAATAAAACAAAAAAAATACCTTAGCTGAATGGTAACCCAAGCCGTAGGTCCAATAACGAAAATGGCTGCCAGAATTGAATACCAAACGTCAGGTGTATAAGGAGCAAACAATCCTGCTCCTGTCGATGATTCAGCAGGTCTTCTTAATAAAAATGTCATTTCATTTTCATCCAGTGATACACTGTAATTCATGAAATCCTTGACTTTTGTCATTACCGGCAAAAATGCAACTGCCATGTCCACTTCCTGTTTTTATAAAAGAAAAAAATACACTTCATAAAATACTTTAATATTAATATATTGTGGGGGATTATTGGAAAATTATTATTAATTAATAAAGTACAAATAAATTTTAAAAAAGGTCTGAAAAACAAACCTAAAAATTAATTTATATTTATTAATTATAATAAAAGGCATAAACATGTAAAATAAAATTTGATATTACAAAAGAATATAAAATAAATAATTTAATTTTTTTTTCTAAATAAAAAGAAGAAATATTTTATGTCACACGTGGCTGAAAAAAATATTTTATTACATAAAAAAAATCAATACAAAATTATGTTTGTTACTTATTATTTATATAAACAATAGGTCATGAGAAAAAAAAACCATTTTAGAATATCGATTTCTTGGAAATTTTTCTGTTTTTTTCTCCAACAATAAATAAATAAAGTATTTTTCCAGTATTAAATACCTAAATAATTGGAAAATCAATTTTTAAACCTTTATTTATATTAAAAAAAATTATTTAAAAATCACTTTAAAAAATTATATAAAAATCATTAAAAAAAATTTTTTTGACTGTATTTAAAAACAAAATTTTTGACTTTCTCACATTTCTTGCTAACATTCCCACGATGCCAGATTCTTGATTTCCGAGAATTTGTTCTTTTGGCATAACAAATGTAAAATTAAAATTCAATTTTGACGTTAACATTTCTAAAATTGTAAAAGCGTAACCTTCGCCACGAAATGATCCATTACTATAAACTTCAAAATTTGAATACGGTGGATCCTGTGAAGAAAAATTAGGAGAACAAATTTTTAAAGAGTCTTAAAAAATTGAGGAAGAAATTCTTCTGCATTTATGTGAATTTATTTCCATAAGTTTTTGTTAATAATAGTCAGCAAAAGCAATAATTGTGTATTGTAATCAAATTCATTAGTACTACATTAATAGCAAAGTTTTTTTTTAAATTGAAAGTATTAGCAAAACTTTATAATGAAGTAATTTAGAAATTAATATAAAACTTCTAAATGAAAGAATCAGAATAAAATACCAAAATTTAAATGAAAAATTTGTTAATAAATAATATATTAAAGCCACTTACGACCCATGACGTAATCCGAATGGTCTCAGGCACTTTCCTCGCCATTTTCAATTTTTTCTTCTTATATTTTGTATTCAAAGAAATAAAAATTTCCACCTTTCTTCAATATATTTTACATTTTTGTCACAATACTTTTATTTTACGTTTTCGCTTTTATTTTAATTAGATAACAACTTTTTTTTTCTTTTTTTTTAAGATGTCACATTACACTATTCACAAAAAATCTTCTAATATAGAAAAATTCTAGTTCACATTTTCGTTTCTTCACTCGCTTCATTTTTTTCATTATCTTTATTGTTTTTTTCATATACCCATTATAATCCTAATTTCAAAAAAAAAAAATGAAAACAATTAAATAAACAAATTAAATAGAAATTTAATAAAATAGAAGACAGAAAAATGGAAAAATTCAAAAATTACAAAGAAAATGATTAATAGAAAAATTAATAAAAATTGCAGGGCAAATAGAGAGATAAAAAGTAGTTTTGGAAGTAATAAAGTTAAGAATAAATAATCGGAAATGTGTATTTTTTTAATTTAAATTATTCAATTGTTCCTTAAAATTTAAATTTCAAAATTTTTTTTTTTTTGGAAAAAATATTCCAAACGGAGTGCACTAATTTTTCTTCTTTTAAAAATATTGAATAACGTCGAAAAATGACATTTAAATGAATTTTTTGCTAAAATATCCCATTATTTAAATGAAAATCCCAAACTTCTATCCCACTTACTTAGTTTTGAAATTTTAGTCAAATAAATTATTTTTTACAATTATTTAAAAAAAACGCGGTTTTAATTAATTTTTTTTGTCAAATTAAAATAATTGCAGGTACTTTAAAAAAAAATTTTATAATTTTTTTTTAATTTTTCTTTTTTTTTTTGCACAAAAAATTTGGAGAATGCGCAACGCGAACTTTACTAGTTAAACTCCAAAATGAATATGTGTTCTTCGGGGCAAAAAAAGTGACAATAAAGAGATCCAAAGAAGGGTAAAATGGGGAAGGAGGGGGGGCTCTGTGGGTGGTGATGTACCCCTAGGTTAATTCCAAGGGTGGTGACGAGATGTCAGCCAAATCAATACTGACACTTGCAAACACATTTTTTTATCCTTTATTTCCTCATACCTTTAGAGAATATAAGCATGTGTCGAATGTGTGCCCCACAACATAATTTTATTGTCACATGTTTACATGTATATTTGTTCATGGCACTTACGAACCAATAATTCCCACTTTTTTTTCTTTTTCCCTCTACACACGTATATTGAAATTTTATTTTCATTTGTTTATATGTATATGTATATGTGTAAACAGAAAAAAGTTTCGTCACCTCAATACACCTTTCAAAATCCATCGAATCAATTACTTTGGTCAAATAGTCAAGAAAAAGTACAGTGCTCCTCCTCCCCCTTCTCACCTCAGTCACTTCCCCTAAAAAAAAAACTTTTCCCATTTTCATTAAATAAAAAATGAATATTTCAGTATTTTCACCTATAGAGTGTGGCAGGCATTTTTTTTAATAAGAAAAATTTTCAGGTTCAACTGAAAATTGAATTTTTTTCTATGTAATTTCCGGGGTTTTTTTTTTCAATTGAAGAGCTTAACAATTTTTATTTGTATAATTTGAATTTAAAGTCCTGTTGAATGTAACTGTCGGACTTAATTTACTATTAAAAAAAAAAAAAAAAAAAAAAAAAAAAAAAAATGAGGAGAAAAGAAGTTGGCAAGGAAGAAAATGAAGAATAAGAAGGAGGAAAGAAAGAAGAACAGAAAGACAAAGAATAACGTTAAAAAAGAAAAAATATTAAGAAAAGTACAATTATAATTGAAAATACAATCAAAAAATATTTTATTTCATACAAATATAATTGTGTTTTAAATAAAAGTATATTTATCTCAGACAGTACTAAATTATTTATTTGTACCAAACAAAAAATTTGTTTTACACAAATAAAATATTTTCTATCCTAAATAAAATAAAAAAAAACAAAAAAGTTTAAAAAAATTTTAAATAGATTTTTAAATACACTTAAAAAATTAAAAAAATAAAAAACCAAATAAAATTTATATGCAAAATAAATAAAAAAAAACTTTTTTAACTTTTCAATTAAAATTAGAAAATTGATTAATCTTTAAGTCATAATATTAAAAAACTACTTAATTTTTTATGTAAAATTAAAAAACTAACTAATAATTACTTCAAGTAAAATAGAATAATTAATTTTTCAAATTGAAAAATGTATTAATGTTTTGAATAAAAATTAAAATATTACTTTTTAAAACTTTTTAAAATTAAAATTGAATAATTAATTACTTATGCTTGAATTAAAATCAAAAATTCACTCAATCTTTTTAATTAAAATTCTTATGGAAAATTACTTTCAACTTAAAAATGAATAATTAACCAATTAATTAAATTAAAATTAAATAATTTACTAATAACTTAAAATAAATTTAAGAAATTAATTACTTACTTTAATTTAAATGGAAAAGTTTTATTTATTTATTTAAACATAATATTTAATTTTATTTGATTTTCAAATTGAAACTGAAAAGTTATTCAATTTTTTTAAATTAAAATTGAAAAATTAAATAATTTTTGAAAAGTAAAAAAATGTTATTATAATTGTTATTCAAAAAATTAAAAAAAAAAAAAACATTGATATACACTCTGTGTAGGTAAATACTTTTTTTCTGGAATTTTATAAGTGGATCTAAATCGTAAATGTACCCCCTATAAATTGAACTCTATTTATCTTTAGTGTCTATAATTTACTATCATAAAAACTGACACTAATGATATTATCTACCTCGTAATACATTGCAGTCAAATTGAAACTATTATTTCAAAACAATTGAAATACACGCCTTCATGCCCCTTGAAAATATTAAAAAATATAAAACAAAAAAAAAATTAATAAAATATAAAAAATAAGTAATAAAATAAAGTCGAAATTTTGCTTCATATAATTAAAATATTTAAAAAATAAGAATAATTAGCAAAATATGAAAAATTTAATGTTAATTTCCTATATTTTATTTACACTGGATACAATTTTAATATTTAAAAAAAATTTTTGCTTTTATTCTTTCTAATTTTTTATGTTTGTTTAAAATTTTTTTAAAGGTGAATTATGCAAAAATTTTTTCTATGTAAAACTTTTTTCTTTTATAATTAATATTTATCGGTAAATATTTTACAGTAAAATTTTATTATTTTTTATAAAAAATTTTTTTAAGTGAATCTTATTTTTTTTATATAGGTCATGAAAAATCGCATTTTATGTATAAAATTTTTACCAGTAAAATTATTATTTTATAGGGGAACATAGTCTAGGTCGGCCACCTTTTTGACTTTTGTTTATAACTTTTTTTTAAAAATGAATTTGGACAATTGAAGTATATGGTTGGAAAGTCCTGTTTAATAGGAACATTTTTTCTGTACAAAGTAAATTGACAGGTTTAAAAATGAAAAAGTTATAAAGATTTAAAAAAAAAAAAATTTGTAGTCCAGGTTGGCCATTACAGTCAAGGTCGGCCATGTTTAAAATTCAAAGGGCATTAATCGTTAAAAAATAAAATAACATGTTTGGAGTTACGGAAAATTGATTCTTTATTGTTTACAGTTTGTAACTTAATGAAATAACAAAATAATAACAATAAACAATATAAAAAAAAAAATATAAATAAAAAAAAGTTTTGCACTAAAATATTAATAAAATTAAATAAAAATATTAATAAGATGATCAATTATATTATGAGTTATACAGAATTGCAGTTTTTGCAAATGAAGTAGCTCGTCCTCATCTTTGCGCATTTTAAACACATAGTGGCCGACCTTGACAGTAAGTAACATTACCGAATTGTTGTAACCATAAAGAAATACGTTTCGGGATTCGATTTTTTACTTTGTTTTCCTTTCAACCATGAGTCCCACAAATTTTCTGCATACTTGCCTTGACGATTCAATTTGTTTTTTATCTTTTATTAATGGTTTTTCACATTATGCACAAAACTTTTTTTGAGCTTTTTTTGTACCGACGTTACAGAAAACACAATTTTCGATTTTCCGAAAATGTAATTGAACAAAAAGTTAGGTTTCACTAAGACAAGCTTCGACAAAAATGCGCGTAGGTGGCGCTAGTGAACTTGACAAAAAAACGCGAGTGGCCTACCTAGACAGTAGGCCAACCTTGACTACATTCCCCTACGTAAAATTGGAGTAAGTATCGTTTAGACACAAAAAAAAGAAAAAAAATATTTGCTTCTTTCTATTTATATAAAAAAAAAAAAATTTGTTAAATTATTTTTTTTTAAATTTTTTGTTATATTTGTAAAATTTTTAGTCTTGTTCAATATTAAATTTTTTTTTTGACAATAAAATCATTTTATTTGTAAAATTTGTACAGTATAAAATTATTTTAAATGAAATTGTTTGATTGTAAAACTTATTTTAAAATTTCTAAAGTAAAATTATTTTACAATAAAAATTTTAAAGTAAAAATTTTAAAAAATTTTACAATAACATTTGTAAAGAAAAAATGATTAAATATCGAATTTTGTAGAGTCAAAATTATTTTATATCTTCAATATTTCTAAAGTAAAATTAATTCAGTATTTTTGACTATATATAATTTTTTTTTAATTTTATAAATATTCTTTTTAAGTAAATGTAATCATTTTATACATTTTTCTTTTGACGTTATAATGCAATTATTATAATTTCATTTTTTTCTGTTCTTACTTTCGATCAATTTTTATTATACCATTTTTTTATGATTATTTTTTCAAAATAAATTTTTTTTAAAAAGGTCAAAAAAAATGCTGAAAATTATTATAAAGAAATAAATTGATTGAAAGGGGGAGAAAAAATGATTCATATTTTATTACTTAGTGAAGTAAATTTATAATCCACGTAGACGTTTATCAAAAATTAAAAAAAATTATATATAGATAAATGTGATATTTATTATTGTAAGCGTTTTTTTTACATGTTGACTATATATATCAAAAATTGACATATATATGTAAATACACTAAAACTCGTATCATTTTATTAATAGACTTTAAATTTCATTTATCTTACTTTTTATATCAAACATGTTTCTTGAAAAGATAGCAAACATTTAAATAGTTTCAAATTAAAACCC